TACGATCCCAGCCGAAACCCTCCTCAAAACATCGAGCAAGACCCCACTGCGTAGATCTGCAACGTATTTAATACGCGGGAAGAACGCCCTCGCCGGCGTTGCAGACGGGCGATCCCCTTCCGCCTGCACTCGCCAAATCGGACGTTGCGTCGACGCCCGCGCTGCCCCGCCGACGACGCACCCGAGGTTGGGCAGCAGTCCATCATCTCGGGGCCCAACGTTTCAGGAAACGGGTTCGAGGCAGAGCGATCGCACGGATGGAAGTCTGGCATGGGCGCAGGAACTGGGCCTTCGGGTAAACTGGTATTCCCATGGTTTCAGGAATCGGAATTTTTCTCGGAGGGTTGCTTTGCAATGAGGGTAGGATGGGCGGAAGATGGCCACCGGGGAGACCATCAGCCTCGGTTAATTTCTGCGGTCATCGTTCTTTATCTTCAGTTGCCTTTCTTTTGGTTCCTCTCCCACTATTTACCAAGCCCCTAAAAAATAATAAAAAATAAAAATCTTATAGCCTTTTGTCGCGAATTGACACAAATCTTTGCTCATTTGAGACTGATCTCAAAGTCTAAGAGCATATCCAAAAGGGATCTTAGGTTTTTTTATATATTGAGTTTTTTCATATATATTGAAGAGCAAATCTCTCATCGCTTATAAGAACAAATTTTCACTGCTAGCCCATTTTTCAATTTTATTATCAAATCGACCTCCCCTTTTTTTTTTTTCTTGTTCTTTATTTCGTGAATCGTATCCATGTTTCTCGCCACTGTCAGCGCGCATACGAGTGGCCGAGAAGCGGGTCGATTATTTTTTAATCGGGCTTCGTAAACAGTCGGGCTGTTGGCAACCCCGACTGTTTAGTTGATCTCTAGCAGGCCTCTTAACTGAATGCGTCGGTTGGTTGGGAACTTCCGTGCCAATTCGAAATGGGGCGCCGGGGGCCGGGCGCGGCGCCCGCGGGCGGGCCGGCGGGCTCCATTTCGAATGCATGTGTAAATAGTTTTTAACATTTCCTAACGACTTATATGTCACCTGTGTCGGCGGGCTTCCCAACCCCGACCAATTAGCAGAGCCCCTATCCACGCTGGTTTTACCATGTGCTACGAATTGTCTGGGGTTGGCGAACCACCGACCAATTCGTAAAGGCCCATTCTCGTAATTGGGGTCGGGGTTCTCCAACCCCGACCATTAAGCAGAGATCCCACGCTCGAACCACTGCTGACGCGCGGCCTAGTGTTTGGCTGCACAAAATGTCGGGGTTCACAACCTTCTCGACCCATTTTTGCAGAGCCCCTTCCAGCTCACATTCACTGGAAACCTCATACTTCCTGTTAGTACAGAATGTTAATCACAATAACAAGCTAAAATGCAATCATACTCCTGGTTTATTCAATCCCTAATTGCAATTCTAATCAACAAATATATACGTACCGAATTCATATTCGCCAACTTTAACATTATCATCAAATCCATTCGCAAACACAAACACATATCAAGTTCCAAATTGCAACTCCAAACACAAACATCCTATTACCAAGTTCCATCGAAACTTAACATAATATCACAACGGCACTTTCCCTCCCTCTCTCTTCGTCGTCTCCCTCTCCCTCTTCTTCTCTCCCCTTTCCCCGGTTCACCTTTCGACGTTTCGTCAGCTCGGATATTTCCTCGTCCGGTTGTGTGTGAAGTTGGATGCGCGCACGACATCCGCGTTCGACTCGATCGCCTGTGAACATCCGTCCTGAGCCTGTTGTGATTTCCGCCAGCTTCATTCATGTGCCACGGCTTGATCCCGCCCCCGGTGTCCTCGTCGGACATCGCCGCCCAGGTATCAACTTGGTTGCTCTCCCGTCCATCGCAGCTTGCTTACGCGTCCTCTGAAGAGCCGGACCGTATCTTTTTTTATCATTCGATAGCAACGGTGTTCCTCGGCTCCTGCTCGGTAGTCGTCGTGGAACGTATGTGCCATTCCAGCCGAAAGCTTCTCGAGCTCTGTGTACCTATAAATAAAACCGATAAGAAATTAGTATCAAGTGCGATGGTGAGAAAAAAAACTTAGAAAATTAATTGTATATTATTTCTTATACACTTACAAAACTCTCTCTCGGACTGAGGCCTCTTGTATGTGACTCCTTCCGGTTGCTTTGTTTTCCTGAATATACTCCACGCACGAGTAATCCCCAATACCACCAGTAGGTACATCCTTTATAGGTTTCACGCCTGCATCAGGCACCGTCTTCCCATCACTACCATGTCCTTCCCTTTAAATGCCCAACTCCCGATGTAAGCTTGGCGGATTTATCTTCCCAATTAGCATGATGCTGCACTTTTTATCCAAGCTCTCTCTATTCTCTCTCACAGGCCTTGTGAATATGTTGCCGTATTGTCTAGTCCAAATTGTCGAATGCACATAAACAGGCTCATGGCACGTGTATTTCGACAATCTCAAAGCCATATTAGTGGGATGCGAGCCACGCCTGGACATCCTTACTTTCCCGGCAAATATCGTAGTGACTCCGACACACGCTCGTAGAGCATCCATTTGACCTATAAAGAAGATCTATTTAATGATATAAAGATATATTATGGATAATATCTCGCGAATGTATACCGAATACTGTAATTTTAAGTAGTGCGCTCACTCTTTGAACAATTGGTGCGAATCTTGGTTTACTAATTTCTTGACTAACCTAGATACTGTGAAACCTATGACTCCATTAATAATTTAATCTTTCTATACATCTCATGCTCAATCACATTCCATCCTTAGTTATTCATTAAATTGATGCAGTTATATGGCTCATCTAAAATTAGAAATGTTTCTGCTCACATCTGAAGAATTATAAGGAGTTTGAAACTTTGCCCATGGATACTGTACACAATTCCATTTATTTTTATATACAACGGTAACCTCTTTCTGCGTTGGTTAAATACATTTAGAACATCATAAAACTCTACTCCGTTACTCCAATCAGCATCTTATAATACGAGTCTCACTATAAGGAATGATTGACCATTTCGTGATCGATAGCTTCGCAAACCGACGGTGCACCTTTCTCCCCTACATTGAATATCATAGTTCTCCCAAAATAGCTATCAGGCTAATCCCCTAAACCCACAATATAGCTTTCCTTTTATTGTGCTGCGCCTATGCATGGACCATAGATCCTGCCAGCATAGTGAGGCCAGCCATCTTCCTAATCTACACATTTGTTTTGTACCCGAGAGGTGTATATTTTTGTCAGTCCTCTCCCTGATTAACAAAGATAGCACGCTAACACTGGCCGATCTCCCCACAAGATGAATACTGCTCCAACACCTCAAACGCTAAAATCGGTCCCTAAGGAAGCACAATCCAATCCAAATATGCAATCAAACCCAAACAAGAGACTATACAGATTCGACAATTTACCTACCTGTCCACGGGGAGAGGGATGGACGAGATTCCACTAAATTCAAGAAGAGTACAAAGGCCCGGTTACAATCTCACAAAATCACTCGAATAAAACCCTAAAACATAATTCTTGGTAATCTTCATCACGTTAGTGCACTCAGCAAATACTTAAGGTAGTACATCTCTCGGAAAAAAGAATAGTCACTGATCATAATTGTGTAAAATATATGCCACGCGGCATAGCTCTTAATGAGACTTCTCAACATTGCTGTCATCAATATCTCTGATTTCCTATCATTAAAGTATTTCCTACTAGACCCATTCAGAGTATTTGATCTTTCCTCCTTCATTGTAGGACACGTGAACCCAACAATTCTTCACACGTCGTTTCATCTGCCCATAGTGGATTAGTCTATCTGGTGCCTCACTGACACTCAAATACGCATCACATCAGTACTCGAGCCACACGAAACAAACTATAACTCCAGGAAGACAATCTATGACAAACGGTATATTCGTACGCCTTTTCTCCTTATGCAGAAAGGATCCGAATCAGTGTTTGATACTCGGTCGCAAGCTCCATCGCTTCAACCAATGCGTCAAAAGTGCCCAATCAAGTCTTAACCCATTTTAAGTTGTGAACACTCAAAAAACCCTGTCCTTAACAGTCTTTGACGGCAAATATATTGTATTTCTGGGGGAGAACAAGATCCGTTCTCAACTGCCAGCTAGAGTTGCGCATGCACTGGGCTTTACATAAATGTATCGGACCAACAGTAATACTCGGGCCTCGCATGTAGTTAACGCAGTGCAAATCTCCTTCAGTAATCAATCAACTATACTTTGAAATTTATTGAGTAGGTACAATATTGAAACACATAACTTGAAAACTGCACTTCTACCTCGCGAGCCCAGCGTCTTATCTTGCGGCATCGAACAGAACGGTTGGTCAGCTACTCTGTGAGTCCATTAAGAACACATCATGTGTCATATGGATCCCGCCTCCATAACTGAAATATTCTGCACTATTAACGATGATCCATTAATTGATCTATATTGAGTTAGAAAAAATTGAGCATTTACATAAGCATTGATTTATAAGCATGTTTGAGTTTTTTATAAGGATGCATCTAGTATACATAAATGAGTTAGAAAAAATAAAATTACAAATGTATAAAATTTGCTTTGAACCATTAATTACTATTATTTGATTCGTCGGCAATCGTAGAATACTTTCTTAATAAGGCCTGGACTTTTATTGCCTGTGCTATTCGAATCAACCTTTTGTTACTTGTGCAAATAAATAACGGACATGTCATATATTTATTACGTAGCTACTGCAATCCACACACACGGTACGCTATAATCTCTATTAGTAAAAAAAGTTACTCCAAAAATATATAATATCCTAGAGTTAATAACACAACAATTCTCATAATTACTCAAAAACGAAAAATTACCTTTTTATGTTTCGCAAACCTTGGATACTCGTGTGATCGCCAGTGAGTTACCTATAGCTTGGAAATATCCTAACCACAAGAAATGTGTCCAGCCTCAGTCCATATGCGGGCCCGTTAATAGTATGTGGCCGCAAGTACACGTACTAATCAGTGTACGGGGATAGTGAACACTGCTTATATGTACGCTCTCTATAGTGTTGCTGATTTGATTGCTACCATCAGAAGCATATGTGTATACGAAATATTTTATGACCCCCTGAATTGCCATATGAAATCTATAACCGCAACGTATGTGTGAACATCAAAGTGTCACTTAGATTAAATATCTAGATAATGGTTTCAGGTGCAGTGTGGCAATAGAAATGTCACCTCCCAAGTTCAGGGTATGGTGAAGTGTGGATGAACTGTGGCTTAATAGCTCACATTGTCTCACCTCCAAATTACTATTCTCACAGCAAATCTAACAATTTTCGTTGCCTCTCGCCTGCTTACTCGGGCCTCTATAAATCGCTCATTTTTTGGTTGTCAAGAACGAGGCCCACATGCTGGCTCTCATTCCTACATCCAGTATCGACCCTGACAAGGCAATAGTAACTTTGAGTGGCCTTATACACAAAATTATGTCCTCGGCAACCAACGCCTGTCATGGGCATTGCCGCATGACCCCGTATCAGTAACCCCGCTTGAAGCTCTCCATGAACAATTTGTCCGAATTGTCATCGTTGCAGAGAACCGCAATTTCAATCGGTATGTTCGAGGTGGGCTTTGGCCCGTGGAGGGAGAGTTTCCTCTTGCTTCTAAGGTAAATTAATTAGTTCAGCAGTAAGCTACCCCATTCATTTATTTATAACTTAAACCCAATGCTTATTTTGCGTTGCGACTCTTAATCACTTAATAATATTGTATTACTAGGGACATATATCAAATTACTTGGGAGATAAACACGAGAAAAGCCGTGTTTTGTATTCTGTGAATAACATATATGTAAAGAAGTCGTTGCTTTTTATTAAAATGATAAAGCGGTAATGAATATAGAGGACCCCTTTATTTCATCTTGAAATTGATAGTAAACTAAGATAGTTCATCTGGTAGTTCTAATAGTAGTGTTGTAAAACAAAAAATTTCACACCGTTAGCGCTAGTTTTCATGTACCACAGTTTTATAATCTCATTAAGGGACGAAGTTAGACTAGGCTCTTTTCTCCCCCTCAGCGGATATAGTGGTAGTGCATATGAGGAATGACATTGGTGCTGCTCACTAGCATTGGTTAATAAGTTATTAAATAGCTTTTATTATGTTATACTTCTAATAGTATGTTTTGAACATCAAGCATGCACTGGTTACTGGCTTTTATGCTAACAATAATTCATGTGTTAAAGCTAATACTTGAAAGGTTGAAGGTGCTAAATTTTTGGTGTTAAGAGGGGGAAGAATAAATCAGATCAGCTCATGCTATAAAAGAAAAGCCTCTGGGAAAACTTTGGTCATAGGAGTAGGAGTTTTAAACGAACGAATCGAATTGAATAGTACTATTGAGCGCAGTGGAAATTTCGGTAGCACCTCCGGTGCGCAAGGTGCACAACAAGAGATTAGATCACAACGAAATTCTTGTTTCACAAAGAAAACAAGAACCGAAAACAAAATATCTCAACAAAGTGAGATATCAGTTCTTCCTCTCATCAGTTCTAGGACTGACTTGTCGAGGGAACCTACAAGATATTACAAATCACAGCAAGACAAACTATTTTACGTGGTTCGACAAATAGCATATGTCCACGGAGCAAGGAGGGGGGAAGATCTACTATTAGAGGGAGAGAATACAACTAGGGTTTACAATCTTACAATTTAAACCCTCACACAAGCTCTCAAATCTCTCACAAAAGGGATGCCAAAAACCCTCTCAAAACAGCGATTTTTCTTCACCAAGAATAGCCGAAGAAGTCCGCTGTTTTCTTTCTTTCGCCGTCTTCCTTTCACCCCTCTGCCTCTGAACCGTCTTTGCACTCGTACAGCTACAACTACTCAAGAAGAAAAAACCGACCTTGCTTTTTCGCTGCCAGAAAAAACAAAATCCTAGATATTCGTGATTTATAAATCACGAGACTTTGGGTGGGCTTTGAGCGGTGTTCAAGCCAAACCAAATGCACATTGTACATGGGTGGGCCCCATATCCCCACCCTCGTGCTTCACATTTCTTCACATCGGCAAAGTTTTCTCAAAACTGAACCGACACCAGCCAAACTAAATATCTCACTTGTTGCGTCCAGTAGGAAGTAAAACAATTCACAACAACGGACTCAATGCACAACAAGTTGAGACCCAAATGAGAATGTGATCACTCTCCAAAAATCGGTATCAACTCACCAAATCGGCTGCATTATAAATGACTGCCTATGTATCCTCTTACCTAAGGAATCAAGCCTCACGTAGTTCACCCAAATGCCTCCAAAAGCCTCAATACTGAAGAATGTTCAAAAGTTCCAAACAATGACCAAATTTCATACCTGAAATAATTTTGGTCAACATATCTGCAGGGTTGTCCTTCGTGTGGACCTTCTCCAATATGACGTCTCCATCATCTAAAACGTTACGAACAAAATGGAATCTGACATCGATGTGCTTCATGCGCGCATGATAAACTTGGTTCTTCATTAAATAGATAGCTGACATGTTATCACAATATATCCGAAGGGTCTCCTATGCAATCCCCAAGTTCTCTAATAATCCACGCAACCATAAAGTCTCCTTAACAGCTTCAGTCACTGTCATATACTTCGTCTCTGTAGTAGAAAGAGCCACTATGAAGTGAAGTGTACATCTCCAACATACCGGTGCTCCTGCCAATGTAAACACATATCCTGAAATAGACCGGTACTTGTCAAGATCTCTAGCATAATCTGAATCCACGTAACCAATATAATCCTGCCCATTCTTCTCATCCTTCTGGAAAATTAATCCAACATCCACGGTACCTTTGATATACCGTAAAATCCACTTTGCAATCTCCCAATGACCCTTCCCGAGGTCGTGCATATACCTCGATACCATGCTCACGGCCTATGATAAATCTGATATTGTACACACCATCGCATACATCAAGCTACCTACTACACTGGCATATGGGACCTTCGACATATAATCTCTGTCCTCAACTGAAACAGGTGACATACTAGCTGAAAACTTGAAGTAGGGAGCTAATGGAGTGCTAACTATTTTTGCATTGCCATCAAAGCTGAATTTCTTCAACATCTTCTGCAAATAGCTCTTCTGTGTAAGCTTTAATCTCCCCTTCACCCTGTCTTTCTTAATCTCCATACCCAATATCTTCTTTGTCTCTCCAAGATCCTTCATCTCAAACTCAGATGACAGCTCTTTTTTCAACTTTTGAATAGCCGAAGAATTCCTAGAAGCAATAAGCATATCGTCAACATATAAAAGCAAATATATATGTTCACCATCCTGTAGCTTGTGCATGTAAATACATGGGTCATATGGGTTCCTCGTATACCCCTGGCCAATCATGAAACGGTCGAATCTCTTGTACCACTATCGCGGCGATTGCTTTAATCCATAAAGAGACTTCTTCAGCTTGCAAACCAAATCTTCTTTTCCTACAGCTTTGAATCCCAAGGGTTATGTCATGTAGATTTTCTCATCTAAATCTCAGTGTAGAAAGACTGTCTTCACATCCATCTGGACTAAATTTAAATCCAGCTGTGTCACCAACGCCAATAAAATCCGAATCGACGAATGATTCATAATGAGTGAAAATACCTCGTTGTAATCAATGCCCTCAAACTATGCATATCCATTGGAAACCAATCTGACTTTGAACCAAATGTCCCCAATAGAAGATCTCTCATTCTTTGCATATACCCACTTGTAACCAATAGCTTTCTTACCATTAGGTAGCTTTGCAAGTTCTTAAGTGTCGTTCTTCTGAAAAGATCGCATCTCCTCCTCCATAGCTTCCCTCCACATGATCGAATCGGGGCTAGACTCTACCTTCCTGAATGTGGATGGAACCATATCATCAACGACCTTCACTGATAATGCATATGCGACCATGACATTATTATACCTAGCTGGCCGATGAATCACCCTTCTAGGTCTATTCGCTACAATAGACTCCTGAACATGACCTTGCTCCTGAGTCTCACAATCCACTATATCCTCTATCTGCCTGGCTGTCATCCCATCTCCTCCCAGTATCACCTCTGTAGGAGCTTCGATGGATACAATGCTCTCTGGAGTGAGTGGAGTCACATCATCCTCCACCTGCTGCGATATCTCCTGAATCTGGTCTTCCTTCACCTGCTGAGGAACTTGAGGCTTCATCATGTACGTCTCATCAAATGTGACATCCTTGCTAATAACTATCTTCTTGTCATGTGGATCTCATAACTTGAAGCATTTAACTCCATCTCTAAATCCCACAAAGACTGTTTTCCTCGCCCTCGGATTCAATTTACCATCACTGACATGATAATAAGCAGGACATCCAAATATCCGAAGCGACTCATAGTCACTAGCTATCGAACCAGACCAACACTCTAACGGAGTCTTCCCCTGTATCGCAGTGCACGATAACCTATTCACGAGATAGCTCGCATAAATCAACGTCTCAGCCCAAAAGGATCTAGGTAATCCACTCTGCGTCATCATACATCGTACATTCTCCAGTAATATACGATTCAATCTCTCAGCCATCCCATTCTGTTACGGTGTCTCTCGAACTGTGAAGTGTCGCCTAATATCGTGATCCCGACAAAACTACAGAAACAGATCACTCTTATACTCTCCACCGTTATCTGAACGTAGAGTCTTCACCTTTCTACCTATCTGTAGCTCTACTTTCTTTTTCCACTCCACAAAAATTTTCAGGACCTCATGTTTATACTTCATAGGGTATATTTAATTCCTCCTAGAATAGTCATCAATGAAAGTGATAAAATAGTTGGCTCAACCAAGTGATGTGTTCTTGGAAGGACTCCAAATATCTATGTGAATGTAATCCAATGTACCTTAGGTGTTGTGAATAGGGGTACCAAACTTTATTCTAGTCTTCTTCCCAAGTACACAATGCTCACACAGCTTCATCTTACAGGTCTTAGCACCTTTTAATAGCCTCTGTTTCGCCAATGATTGTAGAGACTTATCTTCTGTATGTCCTAGTCTCATGTGACATAATGTGATAGTGTCCTCCTCTGTAGTGATAGAAGCTGCCAAACCCCCTGTAACTGTCTTATCCTTTAAGTAGTATAGAAAATTTTCTCTGACTCATCGCATCATCATCATAGAACCCTTCGTGACCTTCGTTGTAGCATCTTCTAAGGTCACCCGATAACCAGCTGGCTCCAAAGTACCAAGAGAAATGATGTTCTTCGTCACTACGGCACGAACCTCACTTCTTTCAATTCCTTCACCACTCCGTCATGCATCCTAATCCGGACGAAACCAATACCACCAATAAGGCATACGTGGTCATTTCCCATAAGCACGACATCCCCTCTTTTCAGCTCCTCAAAGTTAGAGAATCAATCCCACCTAGGGCATATGTGATATGTGGTTCATGAATCCAATATCTACTCCGTGGAGTCAGCATAGCAAACCGACGGTAGTACAGGACATGAATAGCCCGAAGAATCTGACTCTGAATGTTCATCAATAGCTTTTGTAACATTCACTTCTGAAGTTTGTACAGCTTTTCCCTTGTTCTTCCCGATTTTTTCCTTCAACTTTAGGCAGTCGATCTTCTAATGTCCATCTTCTTTACAAAAACGACATTGATTTCTACCAATACTCTTATGGTCACATTTATTCTTCGATTTTAAGCGGTTGAACTGGTGGCGGTTTGGATCACGGCCTCAAACTGCTAATGCATCTCCCGATGCCTTCTCAGAGGGTTCACCATCACTCTTTCTCAACTCATAATTCACTAAACCTGAGGTCACCTCCTTATAGCTAACAGTAGTTCTTCCATTGATCATAGTGAGAACGAACGTACCGTAATCTCCTTATAGCTAACAGTAGTTCTTCCATTGATCATAGTGAGAACGAACGTACCGTAATCATCCTCGGGCAACGAACACAAAAGTAACATCGTATCCATTGATCATAGTGAGAACGAACGTACCGTAATCATCCTCGGGCAACGAACACAAAAGTAACATCGTATTATCTTCATCCTCAATCATGATATCCACATTGGTCATATCTGAAAGTAGCTTCGTGAAATTATTGACATGCTCCCTGATGAAAACTCCCCTCTTCATCTTGAATTGGTAAAACCATTTCTTCAAGTGAAGACGATTCTCAATGCTCTTCGTAAGATACTTCTCATTGAGTGTTTCCCATATTCTCAATGCTCTTCGTAAGATCTGGCGTTAAACATGATCGAATAACTTCACAAGTCCTATTCATTTTCTTCCAAACCTTATCCTCCATGTCTTCGGGTTTCTCTTGTAACTCAAGAGTCTCTTCCAAATTCTGTGCATCCAAGGCGTCCATCACCTGACACCTTCATAATCCGAAATTAATCTTGTCGTCGAACTTCGGAACATCAATCTTCATGTTATTGATGCTCAGACTCTGTATCGCCTTCGTAAGAGACGAACCTGATGTGCTTCATTCTCTTATGTTGTCGATCTAACTCTTCAGATAGGAATGCTTCACTGAATCCTTCGAACAAGCCTCAAGCCAAACATTAATCTCTGATACCACTTGTTGTGTGCAGCGAAAATTTCGGCAGCATCTCCAGTGCGCAAGGTGCATAACAAGAGATTACATCACAATGAAATTCCCGTTTCACAAAGGAAACAAGAACCGAAAGCAAAATATCTCAACAAAGTGAGATATCAGCTCTTCTTCTCATCAGTTCTAGGACTGACTTGTCGAGGCAACATGTAAGCTATTACAAATCACAGCAAGGCAAACTATTTTACGTGGTTCGATAAAAAGCCTACGTCCACGGGGCAATGAGGGAGGGAAGATCTACTATTAGAGGGAGAGAATACAACTAGGGTTTACAATCTTACAACTTAAACCCTTACACAAGCTCTCAAATCTCTCACAAAAGGGATGCCAAAAACCCTCTCAAAAACAACGATTTTTCTTCACCAAGAACAGCCAAAGAAGTCCGTTGTTTTCTTTCTTTCGTCGTCTTCCTTTCGCCCCTCTGCCTCTAAACCCTCTTTGCACTCGTACAACCGCAACTGCTCAAGAAGAAAAAACCGACCTTGCCTTTTCGTTGCCAGAAAAAACAAAACCCTAGATATTCATGATTTATAAATCACGAGACTTCGGGTGGGCTTTGAGCGGTGTTCAAGCCAAACCAAATGCACATTGTACATGGGTGGGCCCCATGTCCCCACCCACGTGCTTCACAAATACTGCGATATTCGTATTTGTATTTGTTTGAATTCGAACCCGAATTCAGATATCCATGTCTGCAGTTTTTCGAATTCAAACTGAAATACTCGGTATTTGATAAATATTCATGAATAGTCATGAATATTCGTCAAAGTATATTCATTAAAAATTTTAATTTTTAAATAGTATTTAAATTTATAAATGAAAACTATTTCTTTATAGTTATGATGTGTGTGTGTGTATTTAATTGAAATATTTCATTAGAAATTTAATTTAAGATTCTTTAAGTTTGTCAAAGTTAGTATATAGAACTTAAGTAGAAAATATAAGTAGGTTGAAAATATAAATCATATGTGTAATGATACAAATTATAAGCAATCAAATTTTAGACGAATATTTGATAAGCAAACAAATTGAATATACCCCTGGTTAAATTCTATTCATTAATGAACTCAAATGCTAAATATTATATGTTTAGTATTAAATGAACTTCCGGATCGAATATGACTAAATAATTAGTCAAATAATTAACGAACTATTTGTTAATTAATTTGTTCGTTTCCACCCCTACATAGGAGCAGTAAAAGGAGCTAAATGTGTGATATATTAGTTCTGGTAGTCATAGTGAACATATAAGCTAACTTATGCTGATATGGTGGATTTTCGCTGATGATGAGTGTACGCAGTTGCCCATTATGCAATCCGTATAACCTTGATTAACAACATAAATCTTTCTTTGAGGTAACTAGTATAGTTTTTATTTCTCCTGAGGGAGATCTTCAAGAGAAAAGAGACTCTATTTTCTTATCTACTTACTAAAATAAGTAAATTTCCTCTCTTCCTCTGTGGACATAGACAAATTATTGAACCACTTTGATTTCCTTTTTTTTATCCTTTTGGTCACGTATTTCTGTTTGTTACAATGACAATTTATAACTCGGGACAAGCTACTAAAAGAGTTTGTTTCCTCCCTTGCAACTTCAGTAAGCTCTCTTATCCAAAATTACTTTATGTAGATGTCAATTTGAAAGCTGGTTTATAAGACATCTCTGACAAATCATAAATTCATCAGTATTATCAACTCTTATAGTCTGGTGAGGACTCCAATGAAGATTATCTATGTATAGCACTTGTTTTGCATTGGTAATCATGGTGTATGAATCCTTAGTAAGATTGGTATTGTTTTCCATGTTTGTTCAAGTGTTTTCACACTAAAACAATCCCAATCTACATACTATTTACATTATAGTGCATAATTCCTTGATCTTTTATTTTAATGTAATATTTTACATATTTTATGCACATGAATCGTGCTTAATTGCCAACCTTGACGTATATAAACTTGGAGGGAAAGCATTATGGTTTAGATTAAATGCAGGACATGTATGATGTATGGGGTTCTCTTTCCAACCTTGACATATATGTACTACTTGAAGGACAATGTTCTGTTTTGACATATCTCCTGTTGTTCTTCTTACATCTCTGCTTTTACCTTCTCTAAGCATGAACTATTTATCTTCTTTCATGGTCTTCATATTGATATGTGGGTTCGATAATTTGCCACTAACGAACCATGTAATGACATTGTATACTAGCATATGTGGTTCAGCTGGTAGATTTGTCTATTCTAAAATTTCTTATGATTCAGATGGTAAATTTGTTTATAAAACAACATGTGTTTCTTCATTGACTTGTTTACTCTTTCACTATGACTTTTTCGTCTCTTTGTAGTGAAGAGGTGTTCCTCTGCTTGCATATTGGCTTCCTACGCTATAATCATGTGAACAAGCACTACTATTGCCTTAACTTTGTGCTCTCAATTTACAGATCTTTTGCCATGTTGACTTCGTAGGAGATTTTACATTCTTTCACCTTGTCTTTTCTTTCTTACTGTCTTTAACATCTTGGACGCGATCCATCGGTGATGACTCTACTGCACTTGATATTGCCTTCTAGTTACTCTCTTTCCTACCAACATTGTGGATAAATCGAGGGGACCCATTGGATGTAGGTTTTATTAAGTGACTTTGGTGCCGTGGATATTAATACTTGACATTATTTCTTTGGTTCATTTAATTGCCTATGAGAGTAGTCGCATATTTTATTGTGGTGCAGCGCATCTTGTGAATTTGTGGCTCCATTCTTAATATTGCATCCTGTTGTACTAGCACTTCTGCTCATTGTACTAGCGCTTCTTCTCTTGTATCCAAGATGCCAACATTTCTCTTTTACAGGGAATCGAAGACTCCTATGATGTCCAGTATGGAGTCTACCACTAATCTTCACCTAAGATTCACTGTTCAGTCGGTTTCCATGTTTAATGTGTTGTACTGTATGTACTTGGCATGCACACTGGGTTTTGGCAAAGGAAATTTGATGCCTTTATCTGTCTTTTCTTTCCCAGAAAGCACTTTGTTAGATGTATAGATTACTTTGTAATGTTATAGAGTTTCTGTGGTTATTTTCTATTCATGAGTGAATTTAAATGAAGGATTTCAGTCTTTGTTTTTCATTCTTGTTTCTATGAATTTTCTTTCCTTCATGTTGAAATTTCATATCATTACTTGAATCATTCCTCATTCTTTCTGATGCTTGTACCGATTTGTGAAAAAGATTTTCTTGGAAAGAGGCTTTTGGTTACCAAGGTAGAGCCTTCGTGACTACCCCTCTCGAGCTTTCACCTGATTATTATTCATCATCTCTGTTCCAGATGGCCTATCTTTATTCCTATACATATCCTTCAAATTTTAGCTCATTTTCCTGCTGTTGCTGTAGTGGGTCTCTTGATGAAAAACAAGAAGTCATCTATTCTTCCTATAGCTTCTTACAGCTTGTTACATCTGTTTCTCTTTTAGCATTAATACTGGACATTTTATTTGCATCTAATGCCTAATTGTGCAACATTTTCATGTTTATTTACTGGCGACATTTTCTCATACTCTGCCTTGTTTCTGAATCCAGCTGGGTGGCAGGCGAGTTGGCATCATCGGCCTAGGAAGCATTGGGTCCAGAGTTTCCAAGAGACTCGAGGGATTTGGTTGCATCATCTCCTACCTCTCAAGAACAAAGAAATCATCAATACCCTATCAATACTTCTCAAACATTGTCGATCTAGCTTCTCATAACAATATCCTCATCGTGACATGCGCATTGACTAGCGAGACGCACCATATCGTCGACAAAGAGGTCATGTCAGCATTAGGGAAGGAGGGTGTCATCATAAATGTGGGTCGTGGAGCCCTCATTGATGAAAAAGAAATGGTAAGGTGTTTGATTGAGGGAGAGATTGGAGGCGCTGGGCTCGATGTATTTGAGAATGAGCCGTTTGTGCCGGAGGAGTTATTTGAAATGGACAGTGTTGTGCTCTCGGCTCATCGAGCTGCAATGTCGCCGGAAGCTGTCTCGGATTTGTTACAGGTTATTGTGGGCAACTTGGAAGCTTTCTTTGCGAACAGACCACTGTTAACTCCAGTTTAGGATGGATATTAAAAACAAAAAATAAAAATAAAAAAATAAAGGTTCTATGGGTTGGTAACTCCCATTTTACAGTAGGAAATAAGGTGTAATGGGTATTTGCACATTGTGATTAATTGTTGCAGGATAAATATTGGGTCATTTTACCCTACTGTATCTCTGCGTATCCTTATATGTCATTCATTTTATTATCGTTCTATTAAAATCAGCTCACCTTTTTGGAGACAATTAGATCTTTCTTCTCTCTAATTATTCTTCTTTAAAATGTATTAGTTGCAGACACCAGGTTTGTGTCATCAACACCCACCCCCCACCCCAAAAAACAGGGAAAAAAAAAATCCAAGAATCTTATTTATCTTTAAAGAAAAATTAGATTCTGCCTTCGAAACTTCGATTTGAAAAGAGTAGCACCCTCGATGTTTTTTCTGGAGTAATGTTAGACACTTATCCGACCTTGGAGAGAGATCAAGGATTTGAAGTAGACAAGGAGTTGTTAGTGATGATGCAAGGAGTTCTGAGTGTTGAAAACTGGTATAGAAAATGAGGATAAAAGAAATATACAGTAGGTATATTTCATTATTTCTCTCCTAATAAAGTAAATGTAACTGACATGCATAGCTTGAATGAGTGGCTATTAACACTGTCAATTGCCGACTTTGCTTTAACTTCTTTGTACAGGGCTTTCAGTGACCTCGTGGATCCGAACAAAAGGCGCACACGAAAGCTTAACGCAATTTCTAACCGTCCATTTATAAACAAATCCCACTTTGTTCTAGCGGTAGTCTAACCTCCATGAGATTGATCGTCTCGTTGAATTAGAGTACTACGTACTGCTAGAATTGCACGACAAGTATAATGAGGTTTTATTCTGAAAAAACAATTGAGTCTAGAAGAGTTCCAAGTCTAGTACCGACTCATTTTCCTTTAAAAAATAAAATTAAAAACATTAAAAGGAAAGAAGACCCACTCGTACGTACTTGAATTTTATTTGCCGAGGAGATACCGCGCAAGTTAAAGTTTGTATTTGATTGGGAGAGCTAACGTGTAAAAGTTAGGTTGTTTCTCAAATGGTTTGAAGAGTAATTGAGAAGAGTTGCGGAGCTAATGCCTAATCCCCACCCAACAACTCGAAAATTTTTGATTTGTAAATGAACTTTTTTAAAGAAAAAAACCTCCAGTCTTATCGTTCACGCTCATGTCATGAATAGGATTAATTCTCGTAATTTTTCTTGTTGGTACGAGTAATCCGGATTTAGTTAGCATGTAACTCAGCTACTTCTTCCAGTCAATCGCAGAACACGCCCGTGTTTGGTCTAAATATCAGTTGGGGATAGTGGGCAAGGACTCTCTACGGCTGATTTGATGGTAAAGAGTCTTTTTTGGTTTGACGGGGTTCAGATCATGGGCATCTAACCCTTGGGCGTAGCTAAAAGGCACCTCCCAACGTAAAGCCTCATATGTTCTAGAAAATTAAATTCTTGTGGGTGCTCTCCAAGAGAGTCGAACCTGAAACCTTGGAGTACTACTCATAGACAGCTTACCAACTCGGCTAGGCCCACTTAGGTTGATGGTAGAGAGTCTCTACAATTGATTACAAAAATTAATAAGAATGACAAGGATTCAATGGGTCTTACAATTAAAGAATATTTATTATAATTTAAATAAAAAAAATAGCATTCATGTGATCCATTAAGTTATGAAAATGTTGTCGCCCATAACCTGCAACCTCACACTGACCGTTGCACACTAATCAAAAATCTATGTAGAAGCGCAGTCTGCAAAGGTGTCACTGAACCTCTCAACTAGATCTTCTCCTTCGTAGGCTAATTGATCACTGTTGATATCCTGAGACTCAGCAGCAGGGTTAGAGGATAATCCCGAATCAGTGATGGGGCTTTGAGTCGATATGGACGATGTAGAGGTCCCCTCGTCTTCTTTAGACTGTTGATCCCCTAGGGCTCCGAGGGGGCTCTCACCTCTCCCTCCTCCCTTTGCCAGTAGACGATGAGCCTATATATACTCAGCTGAGAGGGCTATATGCATAATTCTGTCCGAGTCCAGGTAGACAATTGAATCGGCCAACAACCTATAGGTGTTAGTTGCAGGTGGGATGAGTCATCACTGAGTCTGATGGTGACTGAGTGGGCATGGTGCTGACGAAAGGTGATGAGTCATGGAGACTCATGTCATGGGATGTGAAGGTGATGACCAGCTGTTGGTGAGGATTTCGAGGACAAACCACCTCTCGAATCGGCTCCGCAAGAAGGTCAATAAGTACTGCCTTTTTTATCTACTTCGCAAGTTGTTGGCCTGGCCTCAAGTCATGTGAGCAGGTCCAAGTCAAATGATGAGTGTTTGGTGGGAAAATTGAAAGAAGAAAATGGAGAATTGAATTTGTATTATTCTCTCTAACAGACTTAGAAAAAGAATGGATTACAATTCTCTCAATATGATCTCTCTCTAACAAACTTAGAAAAATAAATTACAATTCCTCTCAATCGGTTTCCCGAATTACAAAAGAGAGAAGGGATCGACGGAGACTCTTCCTTTTGTTTAACCTGGGTTCTTGTTGGTGTCGATGGGAGTTCAGATCCTTGTATCCCGTTGATAATCCAAACGCTTCACCTTGTGGAACACGATATCTTCCTCTTGGTTGACGTTGAGGAGAATTTGCGTGGCAAGTTTGAGAATAACTCTTAACAAGTTTAAGAACTCAGAGCGAGTTTAAAACTTTGTAAAAGAGTTAATTGGTTTAACCAAAATCGGTTTCAAGCCAAGTTCTAAGCTCTTTATTGCTGAAATTGAAGATGCTCTCGGTTGTTGAAGGATGAATGCCGATCTTCTTCTCCAAAAGCACATTTTTTGATCTTTCAGAATTCAAGATCTAAAAAATCCCCCCTTGAACTCAATTGAGTTTCTGATATTTATAGGGGGATTAAGGGGTGTAACCGACCCCTTAATCCACTCCTAAGTGGGGCGAAAATCTCTCAGATCATGGAAAAATAGTTTTGAAACTGTTCAGCTCGTGTTTGAATGAGTCAAACGCCTAAACTGGTATTCTGGGCACGAACTCTATGTCCAATGACTAGGAGAAGAGTTGAGATCTACGTTAGGATAGAAAACGCAGTGGGCGTACTGTGTTTTGAATCTAGAATGCAAAGGTGCGCTCTGCATTTTGAATTGGACAGATTGTTGATTTGTAATCTCTTTTGTCAGAGCGTTGCAAAGATCATCATTTTGTAATCTTTGCTTTAGCTCCTTGAAATATGAGAGTCGTCAGATTGTAACTCTCACTGTTGTTTGTGAATACTGTTGAATCAGAGCTTTCATCAGTTGTCGTGAAGGTTGTTGAATTGTAACCCTCATCAATCTACATGAAAATCTTTAGATTGTAGCCTTCGTCTGTTGTCGTGAAAGTCGTCTGATTATAACTTTCATTGTCGACTTGTTGATGTGAAAGTCGTCAGGTTATAACTTCCATCATTGGTGTTTGATGATGATCAAAAATGTTGTCGCCCATAACCTGCAACCTCACACTGACCGTTGCACACTAATCAAAAATCTATGTAGAAGCGCAGTCTGCAAAGGTGTCACTGAACCTCTCAACTAGATCTTCTCCTTCGTAGGCTAATTGATCACTGTTGATATCCTGAGACTCAGCAGCAGGGTTAGAGGATAATCCCGAATCAGTGATGGGGCTTTGAGTCGATATGGACGATGTAGAGGTCCCCTCGTCTTCTTTAGACTGTTGATCCCCTAGGGCTCCGAGGGGGCTCTCACCTCTCCCTCCTCCCTTTGCCAGTAGACGATGAGCCTATATATACTCAGCTGAGAGGGCTATATGCATAATTCTGTCCGAGTCCAGGTAGACAATTGAATCGGCCAACAACCTATAGGTGTTAGTTGCAGGTGGGATGAGTCATCACTGAGTCTGATGGTGACTGAGTGGGCATGGTGCTGACGAAAGGTGATGAGTCATGGAGACTCATGTCATGGGATGTGAAGGTGATGACCAGCTGTTGGTGAGGATTTCGAGGACAAACCACCTCTCGAATCGGCTCCGCAAGAAGGTCAATAAGTACTGCCTTTTTTATCTACTTCGCAAGTTGTTGGCCTGGCCTCAAGTCATGTGAGCAGGTCCAAGTCAAATGATGAGTGTTTGGTGGGAAAATTGAAAGAAGAAAATGGAGAATTGAATTTGTATTATTCTCTCTAACAGACTTAGAAAAAGAATGGATTACAATTCTCTCAATATGATCTCTCTCTAACAAACTTAGAAAAATAAATTACAATTCCTCTCAATCGGTTTCCCGAATTACAAAAGAGAGAAGGGATCGACGGAGACTCTTCCTTTTGTTTAACCTGGGTTCTTGTTGGTGTCGATGGGAGTTCAGATCCTTGTATCCCGTTGATAATCCAAACGCTTCACCTTGTGGAACACGATATCTTCCTCTTGGTTGACGTTGAGGAGAATTTGCGTGGCAAGTTTGAGAATAACTCTTAACAAGTTTAAGAACTCAGAGCGAGTTTAAAACTTTGTAAAAGAGTTAATTGGTTTAACCAAAATCGGTTTCAAGCCAAGTTCTAAGCTCTTTATTGCTGAAATTGAAGATGCTCTCGGTTGTTGAAGGATGAATGCCGATCTTCTTCTCCAAAAGCACATTTTTTGATCTTTCAGAATTCAAGATCTAAAAAATCCCCCCTTGAACTCAATTGAGTTTCTGATATTTATAGGGGGATTAAGGGGTGTAACCGACCCCTTAATCCACTCCTAAGTGGGGCGAAAATCTCTCAGATCATGGAAAAATAGTTTTGAAACTGTTCAGCTCGTGTTTGAATGAGTCAAACGCCTAAACTGGTATTCTGGGCACGAACTCTATGTCCAATGACTAGGAGAAGAGTTGAGATCTACGTTAGGATAGAAAACGCAGTGGGCGTACTGTGTTTTGAATCTAGAATGCAAAGGTGCGCTCTGCATTTTGAATTGGACAGATTGTTGATTTGTAATCTCTTTTGTCAGAGCGTTGCAAAGATCATCATTTTGTAATCTTTGCTTTAGCTCCTTGAAATATGAGAGTCGTCAGATTGTAACTCTCACTGTTGTTTGTGAATACTGTTGAATCAGAGCTTTCATCAGTTGTCGTGAAGGTT